TATATATACACATACATACATGTGCATATGTATGTGTACGGCAACATTGAGGGCTCAAAATCGACGGTTGAAACGACGGGCATCGGAGAGACTTCGCGTCGTTCTAATGTCATCTCCTGCACGCATCGAACCCTGGAGTCGCCATGTGTGCGCGAAGTTTGGAACACTTCCACAAGCTTTCAGATCGCAAATCAGTGGGCCTAGGCGTTGCAGCATTGCCGAGCAGTCACCTTGCAGTGGATGGTTTGAATTTCGGCAAACCTTTGTACTCTTCGAACGGTTCGTCAAGTGTGCAGGCTTGTCAGGTCCAAGCAGTATATCCTGTGCAAAGAGTCGCAGACAGTGTGGTTGCTGTGGTTTCCTGACATGTGCGCTTGTCGGCAGTGTGACAAAATCCAGAGCCGGTTGCGGACGTCTAAACCCTCAATCCGAAACCCCAAACCCTAAAGCCAAACCTCTGGTAACGATATGGGCTTTTGGCCGGGCTCGTGGATGCTCTGACTGTTCGACAGATGCCCGTCCCAACTTGAAGCTGCGGTTCCAGTTCTTCAGGATCTGCACATGATCTGCGGAACATCAAGGGGCACACTGACGGTGGCGATTGTGGCTGCGTGTGTCTCATTCGGCGACCCGTGAAGATTACTACACGTCTCCTCAAATGCAGATGTTCTTCGAGATGTGTGTCACCAGAACAATGTATTGCAGAGCAGTACTCTAACCATAGGTGCCTACGACGAAGTTGTCATGAAGACAGAGACCTTGCGAGCTTTCAGCGGGCACGGACTGGGCTACCTGAATGGGCCAGGAGGTGCCGAGCACCATAGAGCAGTCGCCTTTACTTTGAGGTTCGCACGGCTGAGGCAACAATCATGGTTCAAAGCACTCATGCTTCATGAAGGTTGAGGATGAGGTCAAAGACGAGGTGGAGTTGGTCTCAGAGTGGTACGAGCCCATCGAGGGCGACCGGCCGGTTCATCTTCGATGGGCTCGTACCACTAGCTGCCCCTCAATGACAATGGCGAGCTCCAAGGCCGAGCTCGGCACACACGGCCAAACGGCGACGTCTACCTGGGGGACTACGAGGATGGTGGATGGCTGTCTTCTTGGCTTACGATGTCGACATGCGGACAGGCATTTCTCCGAGGTGGTTGGTTTGGCTTGATTTACTCAGGACAGGCAGCGAAGCCCCACGCAGTTTTGAAGTTCGTTTGTTGAGCACAATCTTGCACATCGTTCGTGACGAAGTTCCTGAGCAGCAGGGTGCATTCTTGGGAAGTGCAGTAGAAGTAGACGCCTTCGGTTGGGAGCACCAGGGCAGGCTTTGTGTGCACAGAGGTGCTATCTCGCGGTATTCCTGAAGGAAGTGATTTCCACATGGTGGTGTTGTGTGATGGAAGACATCGACATGCTCTACTTGCAGCATCATCTTTTTCGAGCACGGCTGCGGTGAAGAATGTGAGGTACATGACCTGTCCCTTCCCCCAACGTCCTGTGTGCACGTCAAGACGGAGCGTTGTATTTGTTGCTGATAACGTTCGACTGCAAGCAGCCTCCGGGCATGAGTACGGTAAAGCGGAACCAGATGACTCAACGATGCGAGGTCGTGTGCAGCAGCACGCAGGAAATCATGAGACCGTTCAGACGCCACACATTGCACAGTTGAGATATTTGCTTCGAGCTCCTCGCCCGGAGTTATTATGGCACTCGGGTGCCCAGAGAAGGCAGACACAGAGCTTCTCGTTTGCCAGATGCGCTTCTCATTTTGGGAGGTTGCCTGGTACTGTGCAAAGGTAGGTCCTCCGTGTGCGCAAAGTGGAGAGAAGACGAAGCTTTCAGACCTCAATTCCTTGGGCCTGAACATTTCGCAGCGTGGCAGAGGTTTCACAAGCAACTTTCAACTTCCGCGTCGCTGCTCAAACAATTGGTCGAATTTTCAGGCATGTTAGGCCGAAGCAGCATGTCTTGGCGTGCAACAAATCGCGAAGAAGAACGGGCTCGATGGTGTGGTCACGACATGTAGGACTGCGGGCATGTAACCGCATCCAGTCGGTTCTCAACATTTGGGACTACTAGTACGTCCTTTTCTTGGCAGGCGGTGTTGAAGAGATGCTGGGCCTCAAAATCGCTCAAGTAGTTTATTTTCCAGCTCAGTGTTGCCGGAAACTATGTGGTTCCAATGCCTGTTTACCGTGTGGGTCCTCCTGCTCCCAGGGGCCCAAATGCTCGCCAACCCAGTGAGTGGCCGAGCTGCCACTAGGGACATGAGGTGAACATGAAACTCGTGTCCACTGTCAGGAGCTAAGAGGAAGTGCGTGCCAGGCGCAGGTGCTCCGTAACGATCTGGGCACATCTGGCTGCTTGATGACGGTGCTGGAGGCGCGACGCATTAATTATCACCGCTCTACACTGCGTGCGCTACGGTCAGGAATTGATTTGTACCTGCACGGTGACAAGACTTATGCAGTCACCATCTTCCAGCTGATGGGGCATGCATGCTGCGGTTATGGAGCACAGAAGCAGAGACTCAGCAACCTCCAGAGAAGTCAAAAGGCATCCTCCCGATCGCTCTGCATGTTTAAGACTCGGTGACTTCGAGCTGGTCTTTTGAGGGATGTCACATCCTTTTGGCGACCTTCCGAGGGCTACGGAAAGGGTTCTTGCAGGTTCAGGCTAGTTCTGGATTCGTTCGCCGTCTGTCGGAAGAGTCCAGCAACAGGGAAGCATGGGGGTACTGTGAGGGCTTTGCAACTGCCTGTACCTGAAGGGTAAACCCGGCGTTTTCAAGCACAAGACTCTAAAGACCGAAACCCCTACTGCTCGAGTCTTGAGCCACAAAGCCCCCGAATCCTGAAGGGCTAAACCCGGCAACCCTGAACCCCCCCACGGTTTAGGGTTTAGGGTTTAGGAGATGTTCCCGCTTTGTGGAACATCTACAGTGGACACGTAAGAGAGTCTGCATAAAATACCCAGCAGCGCCCCCCCATAATACCCTATGTCACGCCCCTATAAGGAACCCCGAGGCCCCCACCTGCACAAGAAAACCGAAGACTACGAACCCCCACACAAATCAGGTGGTTCTCGTCAAAGCCTGCCGAACACCTCGTAGAATCCTACATGCGCAGCTCTCTAACTTAGGGTCCCCCTTTCAGTCAGGTCCACAAATACTATGGCGCCCTTATGAAAAGGACCCTAGCAGGGACCCTAATGTAGAGAACTACTCCTAACCGGGACTTCTAGAATCCTTACAAAACCTCTAGCTTTAGCTGCATGGCTCTTGGTTATCGTCTTTGCTGTTTGGGGCCATGTGCTCTTTTAAACAGGGGTCTCCAACAAACGTAAAGAGGTTGGGCTATCAAAGAGACCTGAACCCTGGAACCCTTCAACCCTTGAAGCCCAAGCCCCAAACACAAACCTCTAACCCCCTCTCAGAAGAAAAGGGTTTAGGGTTTTGGGGCAACGCTGTTACTGTTGAATTGGAAGACACCCTAAACCCTGAAACCCTAAACCCTAAACCCCAAACCCGAAACCCTAAACCCCTAGACCCTGAAACCCTGAAACCCCAAACCCGAAACCCCAAACTTTGCCCTAAACCCTAAAACCCCTAGACCCTGAA